GAAGAGTAAGAGTGAGAAAACTCATGGGTTAAGATAAGAACAGTTTAATAACTGAAATAAAGTCAAATAGTAGTAGTAGTAATAATAACAACAACAACATAATAATAATAGTAATAATAATATACAAAGCAAGTGATGCACAATGCAATTGCTCACCACCTGCTGACTGATGCCCAGCTAGTCCCCAAGCAGCGATCGCTGCCCCCCGGCCACCTCCCCACAGGTTATGTACTGAGCATGATGTCATATGGTATGGAATAGCCCTTTGGCCAGTTTGGATCGACTATCCTGGCTGTGCCTCCTCCCAGCTTCTCGCTGGCAGGGCATGAGAAGCTGAAAAGTCCTTGACTAGTGTAAGCAGTACTTAGCAACAACTAACATTAGTGTGAATATGAGCATTATTCTCATCCTAAATCCAAAACACAGCACTATACCAGCTACTAGGAAGAAAATTAACCAGCTAAAACCAGAACAGAGAATAACACAGGAACTCTTAACATAAGATGGTTCTACTATATGAATTATCAAAAGACAAATGCAAGCTGCTAACATTAGCATATCACCAGTTCTTCTTTCTGCAGCAAAGAAAGAACTGACAGGCACACTGTGAACTAGGAGAAGTTTTTTATAGCAATATTTTAACAATAAAAACAGAGAAAATGTAACATCTGTAAAGCCGGAGAAAATTATGATAATGCAACCAGAGAAGCATACTGATGTACAAAATATTTGTTCTTGCCCTGTGTGGATAAAGGCAGCTTAAGAGAATTCCTACTTCCTAAAAATTTTAATCAGAAAGACAAAGAAAATATTATAAACATTAAATGACTGCAAGGAGCTTCTCATTCAGATCAGATACTTAAAAGCACACCATACACATCCTGGCAATTACATTTGAGCTGCAAGGCCTTTAATGTCCTTAAGAGTGTACTCCAAGCTCATCTTTACAATCGGCTTAAACCACCATATCCAGTGCAGACACATACCTTTTTCCACACACAACTATGTTAGCTGAATAAATTACCACCCTAGAATCCCTAATTCCAGGCTTTCATTATAGCCTACTCCAACCTGCCATCAGTATTATTCACGTGAATGCCCTCTATCCCATTTCAGTCAAAACAAAGCCACGTTAGTTTCAGTTTAGTACTAAAACATGAACACAAACAGGTCAGACATTCAGGAAGTGAATGCCTCAACCAGAAGAATGCAGTTCCACACTCTTTAACTCACACAAGTACAGTTACAAGAACAGGTCTACAAACTGCTCAACTCCCCTGCTAAGACAACCTCTTGATGTCCATGCTAGAGAACTTGCCATATGACAAATTAATAGCAGCGCTCTAGATCATTCATGGAAAATGTGTGTACTAAAAATTAAAATCTCAGAGTGAACAGAGTGTTAATTTCCTCCCCCATTCTAGTCACATGCTATTTAGAAAGCAAAAGCTTTATACACAATATTTTATGGTCAGTCTTTAATCAAAAGTAGTTTTTAATGCCAGAGACAAACTATGTACCAAAAATCGTGAGCAAGCCATTTTTCAAATTAAACAACTTGGGTAATGTTCATGTCAGAGTTTAAGAATATAACTGGGAGTCTCATGAAGATTATTGAGATTTATAACATCTTAAGTAGTAAGCTACTTAGAGGGAAAAAAGTTCCTATTTTTCCATTATAAATGCACATGATCTAATATTTCAGCTACGCACTTTTGAGGAAAAGCAGTAAAAAGAATAAAAAAACCTCTCTGAAAGAATCGTGCATTAAGGTTTTTTGGGGAAGGGAAGGAGCAGAACATCTGAAGGGGTTTTTTTATTCTTTAGTAACAAGAAAAGAGACACATGCATTCTGGACTTTCCAGTCACCTCCAGTCAGTAGAGAGTATGTCATTTCCCTTTTGTCATTAGCTTTAGTTCTGTTGAGGACACTCCTTTTTTACTCATTACTGAGTTACACGCTTGAACTCCCCTTTTCGCTACAAAAGGTAAGGAAGAAATGACAGTGTCGCCTATTAGACACGTACAAAATCTAAGAACAGACCACTATTACTAAACTCATAAGTCTCATCTTTTTGTTTGTCCTTTCTGATGAAAAGCTGAAAGTTAAGAACGTAAGAACTTACTCTTGATTGCATTAGTCAGAACATATAGACAGTTGTACAGCCTACAATCACGTTAAGTTTATTCCCTGAAGTTAGTGGCAGACAATCCTGGAGCTGAATGCTGTCTCAGAATACTGATGAAAGAGGTTTAGCATTTGCTTTATCAGTTTAAAGTTACTGGGAGGGCGGTAACCAGCAGAGAGAGGCTGCCAGGGACAGGAAAGTCAGCAAACATAACGCACCTCAGCTACCTTTGCACAAAGTCCAGCAGCTTAGTTTAAGCTGCTAGTGCAGTTTAGTTCCAAATGAACAAGTGTGGCCAAGGTGTGAACAGACCTTCTGTTCTGCCAATGCTGCTCCAAGGATTAAAACCTCAGACCAGATGGTAACTTCCTAAACCACCAGAGCCAAGAGCCAGAACTGCTCTTCCTACAACACCTTCAGAGAGATGACAACAAATTGTGCTTTGAAATTTCTCTTCACAGTAAGAAATACTGGGAAGTATGTACTACTACCGCAAGGAAGTAATTTCTACAAAAGAAGCATCTTGAACAGTCATGCTCTTTCCTATAGAGAAGAAAATTTTTCCTCCACGCTTTGATGAACAATACCACACAGAAAAAAGATTCAGGAACCCAGCAACAAACACACAAGAGGAAATTTTCCTGAACTCAGATGAATAAAGCCAACCATGATAAAAGGATTAAAATTTTTAAAAGTAATGATTTCAGAAAGCACTTTCTGACAAACAGATTTTGAGACCAAAGGGTTTTGGAGATACAAAGTAATTAATCAGATTTACCTACTTTTAAAAGGGGGGGAGGAGTGGATCTTGCTCTGAAGAATATCTTAAGTTGTAGTGATACAACAATGACTGAAGAAAAGCTGTGGCTTTTTTTTTTTTAATTGTATAGTTTTAGGCAAGTCACTTCACCTCTCTACTGTACTTCAGTTCCCAGTGTTTTGCTCATACAAAGTCCTGGATAAAATCTAAGCCATACTACTTGGAATATGGGTGTTTTGGGGCCAGAGACCAGAACTTACTACATATATGTACAGTACTAAGCTTTAG